AGAGCTGTGAGACATGAGCTACTGCATTTAATCCAGATGAGAGATAATGGTAGTGGTGCGGACCAAGGTGATAGCTTAGGATGCTGTAAAAATGCTCAAATTCTGGATATATTTTGAGTAGAGCTGATATACTGACCGGCAGGATGAGGATTTTGGAAAAAGAGATGGCATCCAGGATGACTCCAGGTTTTTAGCCCGAGCAGCAGGAAGAATAGAGTTGTCATGAAAATGACAGGTTTGTTGCACATATGTTTACTGAGTACCTACTGTGTAAAGGTGCAAAAGGTATGACACTGTAAAAATGTAAATACCCTCAAGATATTTACATTCTCATGACAGAGAAGTATGTGTATTCTTTTGCTAGAGCTGAATAACAAGTATCACAAGCTAGTGGATTGACTCTCCATCCTAGAGGCTGGAAGTCTGAGATGAAGGTGTCACAGGGGTTGACTTCTCCTGGGGGTGGTGAGGGATACTCTGTTCTAGACCTCTCTCTAGCTATTGGTGTTTTACTGCCATCCTTGGCTTGTAGATCTCTGCCTTTACCTTCATGTGACACATGGCATTCTCCCTGTGTTGCAAGCCTGAGTGCAAATTTCCCCTTTTTATAAGGACACTAGTCGTATTGGATTAGGTGCTCACCTTACTCCAGTGTAACCTCTGTTACAGCCTGATCCAGTACATTGGTGGCTGTCCTTTGTGGTCAATTAAAATACAAGAGGCAGAGACTGGGAAAAAAGGGAGTATTTAATTTCTTTTTTTTTTTTTTGAGTCGGAGTCTCACTCTGTCGCCCAGACTGGAGTGCAGTGGCTGCTCCCGGCCACCGCAGCCTCGACCTGCTGGGCTCCGGCGATCGTTCCACCTCAGCCTTCCGAGTAGCCGGAATTACAGGCATGCGCTACCATGCCCGGCTGATTTTTTTTTTTTTTTTTTTTTTATTGTAGAGACGAGGTCTCGTCAAGTAGCCCAGGCGGGTCTCGAACCCACGGGCTCAGACAATCCACTCATCTCGGTCTCCCAAAGTGCTGGGATTACAGGCTGAGCCACCGAGCCCGGCCCAGAGTATTTAATTTCTATAATTTCTATAGAAAAGCCTGCTCCAGGCAACACAAATCCATTCCAGTATTTATACCCAAAATTCATAGCCCTTCACCCACATTGAGTTTGAAACCTAGGTCAAGTTTTAGCATGACTCAAGATTTACATTAACAATTTTGATAATGTAAAATCACTGATGTGACACAAAGTCTCCTGGTCATGCTGACATTTTAGATAACATTTTGGAATTTACAATATGTTCATTTACAGTTTTTAGAGGAAGGGGCAGACAATTGCAATATTTGGATGGAGGGGAAAACATAACAAGATGACAACTTTTTTTTTTTTTTTTTGAGTTGGAGTCTCACACTGTTGCCCAGACTGGAGTGCAG